CATATCAACATCAAACTCATGTCAAGTATCCAATTATTTTTTCTGAGCAAGTATTCAAAGTTTCAAATCAATGTCCAAGAAGCTAAAAGATCAACAATATGCTACAAACAACATGACAAAGGCTGACATGCATAAAAGGGCTTGGACCCCGGTCATAACTGCTTTGCAGTTCTAGTTGTACTTTTTTCTGTAATGTAATTTTTTGTGCTTTTTTGTGAGTTTTCAAGCTAGAAAATGGCGTGTGACTATGCTTCATCAGAAGTGCAGCAGTTTTGATTTCTAACAGCTTACTTTACACTACCGTTGGGTGTTTAGCTGCTAGCTGTTAGTCTCGTTTGTTTTTTTTTTTAATTAAATTTTTTTTTTTTTTTGGTTCTTACCACATCAAGATGGCCCCTAAATCCAAGATAAGTCTTTTCTGGGCCGCATCCAATATTTGAGTTTTTTAACAATTCATCAGTATCCTGAGAAATTTGTAAAAATCAAGAATTCACTGAACTTTCTCTAGCAGTGACCACCCTATAGAACTACATCATGAGAATGATCTATTTGAGCAGTGCAGTTGAACTGAAATGGCTTCATTTAGAAATGAAATTGCGTGTAGAAGTGGATTTCCAAAGTGTTGCTGGCAAAGAGGCAGTTGGGGTGGACTTTGGGGAGGCCAAAGATTTTTCTATGGTGAACATGGCCACCTCGGGCCACCTCTTGACTCTGCCCCTGAACTCAGTCAATTCTACAGACGTTTTGCTAAAATAAGGTGTGATAGTAAATGAACTTTCCTAAATAAAAACTGTAATTACAGGGCAACAGAATGTACAACATCTTTGTCATTAACTGGCAAAGTCAGTCCTGTTTGTCTGTTAGCAAAACTATTGGATGAGCTTCAGTGACCTTATCTTTGCTGATCTTACAGGTACCGAGATAAAAATTTAGTGTGGTGGTAGTTGAGTCATTCATAACACATTAGTTACCAACAAACCAAGCACACATTATTTTTTAAGTTTGACTAAAAGGGTTCTAATGCTGTCTTTTTTTAACATATTAGTCTAAAACTATGAAAGGTGGTGATGTGTGCTCCTTAAAATTTGCCACACACTCAGTATCCTTATTTTATTCATTTACCTTTTTTATTGAGGCATTTTTGTGATATTTAAACAAATATTAGAAACTCGTTAATCGCAGTCCAGTTGCTCAGGATTTTCAGGTTTTCATGTGCTTTCCTGGTTCAGTTTCTCAGAGATGGGGGAGCTGCAGAGGCTGGGTTTACTGCTATTAGTCATGTCAGATGTTCAAAAAACATTTAGAGCATTAAAAAGCTTGTCAGGGCAGAAGCAGCGGTTGATGTTGGTTGTAAAAGACATTCTTGGATCCACTATTATTCGACTACATCGCCACAGAAAATGCCTAGACAGAATCCAGTTTCTCAACCTTAAAGTCAGATCTGTGTGCAGATAGTTTGAAATCGTCAGTTCCCACAGGTTCAGGTTTGTCCACTCAGAGATCATCCAATGGGCAGTAAAACATTGATGACATGAAAGTCAGAGTGCCGTCCGTTCTGAGCTTAATGATGGTTCTGTCTGTGGACAGATGTTGGAATAAAATGTCTGTTGGTACCAAAGTGTCCCCTCTCAGTCCAAAGTAGTAAAAAAGTTTAGATTTGAACATATGGAGAGTTTTTAAAGCTGCAGTTTGGGAAGGTTTGTTTCCAGCTGTTACATGGTTCTGTAGTAAAATGTTTTGTTGTTTTATTCATTAAAAAAAGATTGCCCTGAGTTGCTGGAATGGAATTGTGTGCTATGACTTTTGTTGCACAACATAGACAAAATTCGCAAAAAAAAAAAAATAATAAAATAAATTGTGGGGAAAAAACATTGGAGAAAAACAGAATTTTAGGGAAACACATTAGAAAACCCCGACCACTGTAGAGCACTCTAGCTCACACAGTTCATAGAAAAACAAACAAAAATCTAAATCAGAGTTTTCTGCTGCTCGGAGTTCAAGAATTTTTAAGGTCTGAGTTTTCATACAGCGACTTTTGGCATTTTCGTTCTGCCTCTTGTTAACTTGACCATCAGGGAGAATGACACTGATGTGTGGTTACCATAACGTCTTCAATGACTGGCAGCAGCCTTACTGCCTCTTGTGATCTTCTTTACACGTCTCATAAAGTTCATCCATCAATATGTTGCTTAGAATACGACAAAGTTGTGTTGGTATTTTGACTGCATTGGCTCTCTTCACTCTTCAGGCATGCAACCTGTACTGTGACAAGTACTTTGTCAGTAGTGTTTCAAAAAAAAGTCTTGTTGGTGATCAAAGAGACACTGCAACCTGACCGGGAGTAATTGATTCCTGTGCATGTTTAAACCATTTTGGTGGGTTGTGAGTTTAAACAGCAGGAAAATCAACTGCACCTTGTTGTTTTTCTGTTTGAGGATTGTAAAGTTTTTCCTCTTCAGCATAAATGTCCCCCTTTTAACCACAGCATCTGAAATAATGTGACGTTTCTATCCTGTGTTTCTTCTCTGGACAGGAACAAGAATATCATCCAGCGCTGGACTCGTCATCCCTGTCCTGGTCTGCAGCCTGCTGAGGGCGGCCTTGTTATAATCTGAAGAACAATTCTTGGTTTGCTCCCAGATCTTGGCCCATCTAAAAAAGGGAAGAAAGAAAAAAAATGAAAGAAAAGATTGCTTGTTTTACTTCCTGGAAGTGAGCTCTCTACATCCCTGAACCCACCCCTCCTCCTTCAGCACAGTTTGCTTCTCACATCCTGCTCTTGCACCTAGCACATCGCTGTTAGCCACTATAAACACCAGTCACATGATCCAGCCCACCCTATCAGACACATAGACTGGATCTTGGTTGGGAAGAAGACCTTTACGGAGGTTTCACTGTTCATGTGTCCATTGCTGAAACTAAAGAAGAAGAAAAATCTCTATTTGTGTTGTATTTATGACTGTAGATATGTCTGTTTGATTTGAACCACTTAGACTCTGTATGTGCTGTAAACGTTAGCTGCTGCTGCTGATACTCATCATGGATCACCGTGAAGAGGAGCTCCGGTCCTCTGCACAGGAGATACATCACATCGCAAGCTATCTGTTCACTTAGATTATTGATAGTACGATTTTGGTTCAAGGATTATTTTCCATCCTGTAAGTGATCCATCCTCAGATGTGCATGCTTGGCCTAAAGGAGAAAAAGACAGGAAACCCTTAGAAAACCAGAAGCCGACACTTTAATGTTGCAATATGTTGAACTGAAGTTTATTTTATTTTATTTTTTGTGCTAGCTTTGGTGTACAAAAAAATGTCCCTTTTGTCATTTTCATTTGTATTGCATCCTCAGCTGGAATAAAAAATAATTTCCTATTTATGAGCAGAGGTGGAAAGTGTACCAAAATAACATATTCATATAAAAGTACAGTTTGTGGGAATTTTATTCAAGTACAAGTAAAGATACTTGTAAAAGGTTCTATTCCAGTAAAAGTAAAAAGTAAGTTATTAAAAATGTATTATTTCGTAGAAGGTACTTACTTTTTCTTACAACAAGAGGGATTTCTCCTGCGGTCCACAAAAGACGGAAATGTTTTTTTTTCTCAAACAAATGATAAAATTAAATAAAAAGACTCATAATTTTAAATACAGTTGCAAAATAAAACAAGCCTATCATATTTATAACAACTAAAAATAAAGAAATATGTCATTTCAGCGCAGAACCACAGGTCTGAACTTTTTTTTTGAAAAAAAAAAACTGCTGGTAGAAAAACTCCTAAACAAACCACCCTGAGCTAGATTTTGATTACAGTTAATTTTTTGTTGCAATGATACAGTTCTTACTTACAGCAATATGAGAAGACAAACAGTAAGAAGTACATTTAAAAAAAGAGATATAGTGGATTTAGTTTAAAAAAATAATGTCAACTTATTCCACACAACTGAACTATGTAAAGGTACCACATTTACTTTACGTTACCTTTACAGTCAATATAAAGTGTTATCTTTATTTAATTCAGCTGAGTGGAAACAGTTGACATCATATTTTAAAAATTAAATCCATAATATATGTTTTTTACGGAGTCTGCGAGAAGACATGTGGGGGGGCGGTTCTTTTCTTTTGCATTCCCACGTGATGCTATTGAGTTAACTCGCAAATACTTTTTGCATTCCCTTGCAAAAGCCATTTATTACTGCTGTGCCTGCCAGTTTATTAACAGATTCACATGCTCACCATTACACAGGAGTTAGCCTACTAATTTAATTCAGCTTGGAAACAAATATGCCACAGCCATGCATTGATGTGTATAATATGCACTTATTTTAATCGAAGCTACACAATATCGCCATCAATTTCCAACCAGATATTTCTAAATAAAAGTCTGATTTAATGCAGTTCATACAAAATATTAAATTTTTGCATGGGAATGCAAGATGGTAATGTGTGGGAATTCAAAAAATATATAAAAACATGTCTTATTTCTATATAAAAGAATTAATGTTTTTTTTTTATAAAGTTTTTTAATCTGATGCCAGGAGAAACAGCAGAGGGCTGGACTGGGAAGTGAGGTTAACAGTTTTGCTGCTATGTTAAGTTGAAAGTCTGAGTTTATAGAATCATAGAGGAGGATTTTTTTAGCCTGGTTCAGTCACCATGCTAACAGAGACAACTCCTCACCTGTTGCTCCAGAACAGGTGAGGAGTTCAGTTTCAGTTTGAACTGTCAGTAAGAAGCTCCGCTCTGCCTGTGCACGCCTGTGATTCATTTCTTAAAGAGATCCCAAATAGAAACATCAGACTGAAGCAACATGAATATATCATAATGATTCCATCCACTGCTGGAAGATTTTAAAGAAGCACATCATAAACTTACAAAACTGAAAATATCATTGTCATTTAAAAAAGCCAGTCAGCGTTCCACACTTACTGATCAAATGTTGGTGTTTTATTTTTCAAACTTACCAACAGCACAATGTTTATTCAGGAATATATTTGCATTTTATGATTTGATTTATGAAATTTAACTTATGGATTCAAAATTTAGGAAAAAAGCATTCCTTTTGACCAGATTGCATGTTTAAATGGATTCACGTAACTTTCAGCAAACATGTAAAATGTGCTTAAAAACATGAATACACGCATACTGTGCATCTCATGGATTTCAATATGCACATTGTACAAAATATAATAAAAAACATTTAAACTGTTCATACATACACTAAAATAATTAAACTACCACTTTAACTTTCATACAGCGGCTGATTTGGTGTGACTGTTAATAAAAAAATTCTGGTTCAAATTTTACTGGGACATTGTTTCCCAACAAAATTTAAAAACAATATTAAACTCAGCATTAATGAGTAATCAGCTACTGTTTAAATATAGCTGGTTTTTACTGGCATAAACAGACTGCAATTACAGCTGTAAAATAAATAAAATAATTTTCATCAGGCTGTGTTTTTAATGTGACCAGTCTGTCAGTTTTTCCACTTCCTGATTCTCTGACATGGTTTTAGATGTGAGTTTGGGAGTTATTGATGCTCTCTGTTTATGATCTCATTTGCATAATTAAAAACAATGTAAAGCTATTCAATATTATCAGTGTCAGGTATTGGTGTTTGAGTCATTTTCAAAAAACTATACCAGTCTTGTTGTTTAAACTCACCCCTGCATGCCTCTCAACGATATTACCGCTAACAGCAGAATGAATCAGCTTCCTTTCTTTAAAATGATTCGAGTTTCTCTTAAACAGGAGTTTATTTCATTTGCTTTAGTTCAACTTGAAGTCATGGTGGATGTTTAGCTGTTTGCCAGATAATAGGTGAAGTGCCAACAAATGCACGAGCTGAGTTTCACTCCATGCCAGTAGACAAAGCAGCCAGATGAATGGGCGGAAACATTCTTGCCAAATCACACACCAGTTGACTGTAAAGACCCAGTCAGGTGTTATGTTGCACTTGTTTTTTCTCCTGATTTTATTTACATTGTTACATTCAATGTATGGGGTTTTAAATGTAATACCCACATAGCAGATAGGACGTGGGCCAGGTCTGGCAATAATAATAGCACTGTTTTTAGGATGGCATGCCATAACTGGCCCCGTTGTGGTTTGGTTTATGTGGTGCTGGCCCAACCACTTCTGAACCACCAATGGGCCGTCATTCTTTGTTATAACTACACTGACTGAGGCCAGAACTGGGCCAGACACATTTTCTATGGGGATAAGTATAATACTTTAAATAAATTATACCAAAAAATGTGGAATTTTAAATAAATCAAAAGTAAAAGTCCATAAATTTCATATTCAGAGACAGTAACATGAGTAAATGTAATTCACTACTTTCCACCTCTGTTTATGAGTTATTATTGTAAACCCTGATATATTCGCTTTGACGTCGGAGGCTGAGTGCCTTCAGGGTGTGTCTTATTGCTGTACTGAACTTGTATCACCTTTAGATCAGGAACACAACACATAAACTCATGCTTCAGGTTAATAATAAAACCAGTCAGACATTAGGTTTATATTTGACATTTAGTGCGCACAGTTTAGTAATTTGAGGGTTTTTTTTTTAAGTAGTTTTTTTTTAGTTCACAGAGCATTTCTGAACACAACGCTTTGACAATCTGATAGAAACACAAATGAAGCAGTGGCTGGTCTTCATAGTGCTCATCACATTCTCTAAAATGATCTGGAACTAACGTATACAGAGCCGTTCCAGATTTCATAGCAACGCTAACAGAAACTTGTCAATAAGACTGGACCAGGTTGATGATCTGAGGAATAATCACTGTGGGTTGGATTCTGCTGTTTTTATCTCAGAACACATTGGCACCTGTTTTTACTTATGTGAAGTCCAAACTTTGAGGTTTTAACAAATTCAGGTCAAATTGTTCTGCCGTCAAATTGTAGCCTTGCAGCTTGGGTCACTATGTATCCTTAGATTTTAGTGGGGGAAAAAAGGCCATTTGCCACATTTCTTTTAGTTCTCACCTCATCCCCCTCTGTACTCAGACCATTTCATACCTCAGCCAGTTTTGTTCTTGCTTCTGTCCACTTCGTACCTGCCTCAGCCCACTTCATGCCCACCATGGCCAGACTGTAACCATCTCAACTCATTTTGTATCTAGCTTAGCCTGCGTTGTACCCAATACATTCCTGCCTTCCACGAAGGAGCATCAAATAATCTGTCACAATCGGGAAGCTGGAAATAAAAAGCCCTAACATTACTTTAAAAATACAATTACATTTCTGCAGATGCCACCATTTGTTTAGGCGTGAACGTTTGACCTTTAACCTGTTTTATTATGTTTTAAAAACTCTTTGCTCTAACTGAGCAGCCATGATTAAAACAGTTCAGCCGTGTGAGTGGTTTCATGTTAAACTATTCTACAATGCTATGTTAAAAGTGTTAAAGCTAACCTTTGATTTGATTATTCAGTCAAGATCTCTGTGAACATGAACAGACAGAGTGTCAGTGTGGTGAATTATGCTTTTTATCATTCAACAGCAGGAAATTTAAAAGGATTTAATAAATTTCAAGTTATTAGAAACAAAGTTGAAATTATTTCCAGTAAATCCAACAGAAGTAAGTTATGTTAAGGCCTCTGTCATGAGGACGTTTCTCAAAGTCAAACAGTGAAACTCAGAACTGATACATTTTATCTCTAATCCAGAAATCTAACATGGTTGTGTTTCAAGCATAAATTAACAGGTAATACTGTAAGACCATGTAAAAGATGATCCAAGCTCCATGAAACTGGAAAAAACCCTAAACTGAACCAGATGTCACTTCAAAAACACACTGATCCTGCATCAGACACAGGACATTCTGGGCTATAACCTCAAATAGTTTATGACTGCATCTCAAGATAGAAAAAAATAAAAATAAAAATACACTTAAAATCAAATCTGAACGTTTAATGTGCATTTCGTACAGCACAACATGCTTGTAGTTTACACACCGTGACTGAGAGATGATCAAAACCTAAATGTAGATCATTTAATCTACTGGAACGCACCACTGGCTTCTCACAATGTTAAAGAAACTGTACTTTTTGACTTATGGGGTATGGGGATATGGTGCATGCATTGTTTCAAAGAGGTAAATTATGTATAAAATTTCAAAATGGCAGAAGTCGTCTACATCTTTTGACTTGTTATTGAGAAGCAGGGATGAGTGTACGGAGAAACTACCAGAAATACTGTGTTGGGACTCAACTGTTATGAAATACTGCCCAAAACGTTGACTGCTATGAACTCCCTGGTAACTAACGTGAAGATACAGTAGATCATGTCCACACAAAGCTCCTAATTTGTGCACACACTTGACTCGATCCAAGAAGTTGAGTCATCCATCGACACCCTGTAGAATCCCTCCATATCTAATTTCTCTGGGCTTGGTCCACAAAATCTTAGCCAAAGCGACTGAACTGGTGGTCTACAACAGAAATAACGAAAGATTCAAAATAACACACCGCCTTTACCACCAATGCATGCACCAGATTTATACCCAACGACGAAACATCCCTGGGTACAAGTTGACGGAGTGACAAACTGACTCACTAATCAAACCCAAAGCGTGATTTGTCCATTTATGGAACCATCCAACCTGGGACTCACAAGAAACATCATGTGACTCGCAATAATGACTCTGGTCTCTGTTCTCAGAAAGCAAACCTCACTTCACACTTTATGTTTTCTACACCCTCTCCCAACCCTGCTCCTGTACAGCTTAATGACCAAGCCAAAGACTGGTTTAGGAAAAACTGTTCATTCAGTGCTTTGTTGTGAAGGCTGAAGTCCCCCCCCCAGCCCACACACACACACACACACACACACACTCATCAAAGGTCCCTAGAAAATCAGTGTAGACGACGAAGGGTCAACCCTGACTAATCCCAGCAGTTTGAAGAACTTCACATGGATTTGAACACCTAATCTGTCATCACTGTCACTTATTTATCACTCTGCTGTGACGGGGACGAGATGATTCAGAGGGATTACGTTGCAAAAAAAAAAGTTATTTTTCCCCCCAGAAACAAGAGTGAAGTTATGATTTTTTTTTATTCTACTAGAAGTGGGCAGTTTGTTCAACCTTCATGTAAAAATTCACAGATGTGTATTACTTAAAATGAAATACGTTGCATGTTGAATTCTTTTCTTTGTTGTTTTAAATCCATCAAAGACGCAAAGATGTGCTGTACTTGTAACAATATTTTTTTTCAGTTTTAAGTGTTAACAAAGTGGATTCTTCATCTCTCCAAATGAATTTAAGTCAAATGTTTTTTTTGAGATTAAAATATCTATATCTAATATTTCAAACATCTCCTTGATGATTCAATCTTAATGAAGGGCACTTGTCTGATTGTGTGTCTCAGTTAGATGCTGTGTTTAAAAAAAAGCAGGCTGGAACTCTGATTTAATATTGTCGAAATGGTTTTGACCTCACAAGTTCAGATGTCTCCATCCAGAGGTTCCCTCCTGCTTTATTGACCATCTAGTCTGGATGGCTTTGTTTTGTGCCGTCCAGGGGTCCGCAACCTGTGGCTCTGGGGCCTCATACAGCTCTTTGAAGCATCGATTAAAACTAATAAAAGATGGATTTTTTTTTTTTTTTTGCTTTTTAAACAACAGCGCAGACTAGCTTTAGCAGTTTTCTTGTCAATTTGTTTACAGCTATGTGATTGATATTACTAATACAAGGAGTGACACATATGGATTAGAAATGAACACATTCTAATTTTAATGAGATTTTTTTTTAATTGTGCAAGACAAAAATCAACCAATCAAACATTCCAGACAAATACCTTACATAAAATGTAAAAATTGATTTGATGAAATAAGTATTTGATCCAAAGGTTTGGTTATATGCCCATGAGGCACACAAAATCAATCAACCAATCCCTTTTCAGACACTTAGAATCTTAGCTTAAGCTTTTAAAAAACATTTGTCCACAAGTTTTTTTCCATTTCTACTTCTCCACCACCTTAAAGAAAACAAGGTTAAACTCATTCATTAGGGCTGCAACCTTTGTATTTAAAAAAAATCAACAGCCTCAAAATGTATTTCCTCCTAATGTAAATTGTTTAATCACTTAGATTGAAGAGCTTTGTTTTGTTCTGTGCATTTCTTACATATTTTAACTATTTTAACTGAACTTTAAAATAGTTTCGAATTTATCCAGTGGTTTGTTTCACTGTGTTGAGGGGCCAATGGGCAGGGCCATGTATCAAAAAACGTGTCCTCAGCCTAAACACTGAAGATGGCTCTTCCAGCAGGACAAAGGCCCTGCATTGTGTTGTGGCGTGTGGTCATGCACCTCCCAATTTTTATAACTTAGCACAGTCTGCTCGCACACCACTCCTTTCAAAAGTGTCTTCGATGCACCTGTACTGGCAATAATATGATCATTTTAAGAGATATCACAAAGAAAAGCAAATGGCATATACAGTATCTCAAAAAAGAAGATTGCAACTGCAATATATAAAAAGAAAAAAAAAGGAGTCTGTTTGTTGTAAGACATGAAAGAACAATGCAAGATCGGTTTAGGCAAGTTCATGGCAGAAATAAACAAAGCTGTTCCAGTCATTTTACTGGAGGTGGTGGCTCTCTCATTCATATATTTTATATATTACTTACAGTTTCTTAAAATTTTCTTCTTCTTCTTCCCTTTTTACTACATTCCACTGGTAATGTAGTGTACTGCCAGCTGTTTTTTTAGGAAAAGGCTCAGGTTTGCACACACACCTGCGTGACACTGAAGCAAGACTAACTGAGCCTTAAAGCTGCAGTTGGGAGTTTTGAGAGAACAGTGGACTTTTGAACAAACACAGCATACAGGTCCCTCCTCCTTGCTCTCTGCTGCACTACTGCTCTGCCGACACACGCACACACACACACACACACACCCACACACACACACACACACACACNCACACACACACACACACACACACACACACACAGAGAGTGGAAAATATGTGAAGGGGAGCTAAGCTTCCAGTTTCTAAGCAGCAGCTATGAAACCTAAAGAATTTAGAGAGTTTCTGTAAAGAAAGAAGAGTGGGCCAAAATCCCTTCTGTAAAGTGGACAAATCTGGTCTTACATGAAACATGTCGCCAACAAACTATTCACCACCAGTTATATTTCAAATACCAATGTCACACAATGCCAATCATTTTGTAGCTTTTATGTAAAGCATGATTTTTCTTCTGGATATTTAGTTGATATATTTGTTTTTCACAAAAATTTCTTTTCATTTCTCGGTAAGAAAACTTGACAAATCAGCAGGGGATCAAATCATTATTTTTCCTTTTGATGTCTAGTTTTCAGTTCAACCTCTCCAAACAAACACAACTAACACGGCGAGATGAAGCTGTTGCTTATTTTTCACTTGGAACCAAATTAGATGTCTTAAAAATGGGCAGTTCACTGCATTTTCCTTTATTAGTTAAGGCTAAAAAGACCTTAGGGTGTGGGGATTTTGTTGTCAGCTGGATCTGCACGGCGGTGTCTGACTTGTTCTTTTTCATCTTTTCTGGGATTTTAGCTCATCATTTGTTCCACTTTTCAGTCACTGCCATAGTTTCTGATCTAAAGTTTTTCTTGGGGGTTTAACTCAGTATCAGATGGGATTTCAAATGTAGCTGAGTGAAGTAATTAATACAGAAATTATATTTATGTGGTGCTGGCCTATGGATGAACCACCTCTGGTAAGTAGATCTGGGCACCTGCGTTGTGTGGGCCAGAATGCTGCTATGTAAAGAACAGCAAAACCTTTGAAATGATGTGCCTATTGTTGCTTGAAGGATTACAAATCATCAAAGTGCCAACTTTGTTTTATACATGCAAACTTTTAGTATATCAGGCCCATGGTGCCTCACAAAAGTATTCATCCTTTTTGGAAGTCTTTGTGTTGTTGCCTTACAACCTTGCTTTTATTTAAATTTTAAATGTGATTTAAAGTAAACAAACTACTGAAAATATTTCCAATTGACAAAGTTACAAAAAAAATGTTTTTTTTTTCATCTGGTTCTTTCATCCTGAGGTAATTGCTCTGTTTTTTGTGATGAAGATGCTGAAACTTGATTGTTTTGTCTATAGTCCACCCCTCACCTTTGTTAAAGATGTATACAAGTAAGTACACTCAAAAACTGAGTTTTGATGTTGTTTCTGATTTTTTTTTTTTATTTCATCTCTACTTTGAAATGAAAAGAATCTGAATTTCCCTTTCCAAAAGCTTTATCTGCATGTGGACGGTAGATGCAAATGCAACTTTTAATTTTTTTTTTTAAATAATACACAGTCTCGCTGAAACTCTGTCCTCCAACAATATGTTTTAAGTTTAGGGCAGAACAGTACACCAGCGATTATTTACTTATCTGGAGAACAACTTTTCTATAAGTTTCGTCAGCACACGATCAGCTGGATGGTGTGAGGACCACTTCCTGTCTGAGTGAGTCACATCAGAAAGAGATGAGTGAGACACACACCTGCAAACTCAACACTCACATGTGAGGTGTCAGTTAATCCAAGATTTTGTTGCTGCAGAGTCAGCTATTTCTTTAGAAAAAATTTAAAACGCTTTATTTTTTGATAAAGCAACCTGGGTGAGAGGGAGGTCTATCCATCCATCCATTTTCTGTACACGCTTTTTCCTTTTCAGGGTTGTGTGGGTCACTGGTGCCTCACAGTGCGAGGGGCGGGGTACACCCTGGACAGGTCGCAAGTCCATCACAGAGACACACATAGCGACAAACAACCATTCACTTTCTCACTCACACCTAGGGACAATTTAGAGTTATCAATTAACCTAACAGTCATGTTTTTGGTCTGTGGGAGGAAGCCGGAGTACCCGGAGAGAACCCACACATACACGGAGAGAACATGCAAACTCTACCCAGAAAGGTCCCCGGACTGGGATTTGAACCGGTGACATTGTTGCTGAGAGGCATCAGCTCTACCAACTGAGCCACCGTGCTGCCCAGGGGAGGTCTATATTTGTAAAAATGAAATAACAGCCATTAAATTATAATTGTGTGGCTATTCATTTGTTGAAATCACTTTATAATTACACACTTTTTAGGTTCATAAATATGGTTAGAATGAAAAAGCAGAATTCAGGAAAGTAATATTTTAAAAGGGGAATTCAGAAAAATAAAAATGGAATTTGAGGGGAAAAAAATCAAACAAATTTTATTGAACCCTAGATATGTTATGCTTTATGAAGAAATCAAATGCAAAATAAACCAAGTTTTTAACAACCAAAAAAGAGGAAATAAAAGTACAGTCAACATCCAGTCTGTGAACAACAAACTGGGTGGAGAACAGCTTGGTAACAGCTTTTTCCACACTGCCTTCAGTTCTATCAAAGCTTATCAAACACAACCAAGCTCAGGTGTCTCACTAAAGCTCAGCTGAGTGATGAAAACAAAGTAAAACGAAGACAGTGAGTGAATATTATTTTTTCAAGTAGTTCATTCTTAAATTTTTTAAGTTTAAATGTCTGTTTAGAGGGAATTTGTTCAATTGAGCTGCAGTTTTTTGTCATAACAAAGGCAGATTTATTATTATTTTTGTATTTATTTATTTAATTACTTATTCAATTACTTATTTCAAGGCAACATATTTATCTTTATGTGTAATTTGAGTTGACATGAATAAAATGCCTGAGAACTAAATGTTCAAGTTAAAGAGGTTAAATAAACAATTTTCATTTAATTATCAGTTGTTGTACATTACAGTTTTGGAGAATCATCATTATGGTTGACTGAGGGGGTACATATGACAAAATGTCTCAGGGGGTACACAGGTACAAAAGATTGGGAATCACTGGTTGAAATGACAGTGTGCAACAAAAATATTTTTAGTTGATTCTTGGAGGGAAAAAAAGAAGCAATGGTAAACAAAGGTAAAACCATCCAAAAAAGTTGATTTCAAAATAAAAGGTTCAGACTTTGATAGTGGCATGACATGAGCAAGGTCAGCTCATGGCAGAGGCAGTATAGGCAAATGCTAGGGCCACCATCCATTTAGGGGGCACCACAAATGGGGGACAAAAAGAATTATAACATTTTATCAGAGTATAGTTGATTTAATCACTGGTTCCTCAGGTTTATGAAGGTAACTTGTTATGAGGATTTCTCAGCTGCTTTGTTACTACATGAGGTGTTGTACGGTGTCAAGGATGTTTCATGTTAAAAGTTTCATGTGATGCAGTCAACATTAACTACTGGTGCTCTGCGAGTGAAACAAAATAAGGATAATGAAAGCTTTTGCTATGATCTCAGATAGTTGAAGTCTGGTTGTCAGTG